CTGAGCCGAAGGCAGTTGCTTAACCAACTGAGCCACCCAGGCGCCCCCAGCTTTAAAAATTTTTTTTGTATGTTTGTCTTAGAGTAAAAGTTTATTCAAATGGTCCCATTGAAATCATTTGTCACCTGAGAATTAATCTGTAGGTACTTAGATTTGCAAAATGGATTTTAAGTGATTCACATGTCTGCATTCATTGAGTCTTTGCACACTTGTTTTCCTTTTATGATTATTATAATTATGATCAGTGGTTTATTCAGTCAAATAACATGCAAAATTCAATTGAACAACTAAGGTTGTGTTTGCTCTCTTTCTTTTTTCAGGCAGCTCACCTGTAAATTTGTATTAGCTCTTTTTCAACACATATATTTAGCCCTGGGTAAAATGTCAGAAATTTTCATATTTTGAGGGAAGCCTTCTCAGATTCAGTCAGTCACTTGATTTAAGGGGGCCATCCTTCCTATCTATATCTAGTAGATTCTTAAAAATCAGAAATATTTATTACATACCTTTGGAAATCTTAGTCATTATAAGTCACCACTTTTTTTTTTTTTTAAGATTTTATTTATTTATTTGACAGAGACAGAGATAGCGAGAGCAGGAACACAAGCAGAGGGAGTGGGAGAGGGAGAAGCAGGCTTCCCGCCGAGCAGGGAGCCCGATGTGGGGCTCGGTCCCAGGACCCTGGGATCATGACCCAAGCCGAAGGCAGACGCTTAACGACTGAGCCACCCAGGCGCCCTATAAGTCACCACTTTTAATCACGTACATTTTCATCTGCAAACTATAAGAAAATAAACACATTCTGTCTTGTGTAAAATATGTTTTAAAAAATGATTTGTCGGGGCGCCTGGGTGGCTCAGTCGGTTGAGCGGCTGCCTTTGGCTCAGGTCATGATCCGGGGGTCCTGGGATCGAGCCCCACGTCCGGCTCCCTGCTCTGCGGGAAGCCTGCTTCTCCCTCTCTCTCTTCCTGCCACTCTGCCTACTTGTGCTCTCTCTCTGTCAAATAAATAAATAAAATCTTTAAAAAAAAAAAAAAGATTTGTCTTCAAGATACATTGCTGGCACAGGTTAGAAGGGTAAATAATAGCCCTCTTACAAAGTGGGGACCTCACTGCACACAGAGGTTAAATGATTTCTCCTGGGGGTGGTGGTGAGGTGTCACCTAAGAGTTGCAGTAACAATGCCAGAAAGAAATCTTAATTTGCCGTCAGGCCAAGTTTACACATTAGGCTTTCACTGGTAAATGGAATTGAAGAAACAGGAAACGGCAAAGAGGAAGCTCCTGAGCCAACTCTGTGCGGAGACTCCAAGTGTCTTGATAGTTGTGAACTCTCATTACCTCAGTAGCCGTGGGGAGTTAGAGTATAGTCTGCATTCAGTCATTCAGCATTCATTGCTAACAAATGGTTGACTAGTTTATTTTGCTTGTTTTCTCTCTAGCAAATAGACGTGAAAGCTCCTCTAGAATGAAAGCTCCTTGAGGTCAGGCACTGAATAAATATATGTTTAATAAATTCTGAGTTTATTTGAGAACATGTCATGTGCACCTGTGTAGTATTCTAGGGCATGGCTTTATAAGCAGGGGAGTTAGCTTACCCCATGTGGGGAAAAGTGAGCCATGTTTGCACCAAGTAAGTACCAAGGTACTCTAGGCTACCTGTTTCTAAGGAATTATGGCCTCTGGGAAATTTGCATATAAACACTTGATAGATGTCTCCTTCTCATCCTCCTAAAAATGTTTTCTTAAAAACCTCAAAATACATTGGTTGGCTTTTCTAATGTCAAGTGCCGTGTAATCTTTCTCATAAAAATTCAGACGTCGTAGAAATCATTATCATAAACGGTTAAATCCCCTGAAATGCCAACTAGATTCTAGAGATACGCTCTGTTGACATCCACAGTGTCTTTGTTGAGCACATGGCTCTTGTGCAGTTCCCTCAGGAGCCCGCGCCCTGTCAGCAGCTCCCACACCAGCGGCAGGAATGGCGCGGTGGCTCTCCTAAACACAGCACGCCGCTTTAACTTAATTGTTTGATCCCCCCAAAGTATTTTTTATTCTCAGGAGAATTCATGGTAAGTAATAGAGCTTAGGAGCTTGTGTCTTTCAAAAAGCCACAGAGGGTGTTCTAAGGAAATTGGGTTCGGGTGGAGGAGAGCTAATAATGGCTATCTTTACTTTGTGCGTATCAGGCATAAGAGATTGGTTTTTACATACCCTTGTTTTGTACAGATGAATGGTTTGAGTTCATTTTAATCCCTTACGTTTACCAGCTTATTTCTTCTTTACCAAACATTCAGATGTTTATATGTAGTTAAGATAAAGCAACAGAGAGATAGACTTTTGCCTTGTTATACAGGTCATTTTTATCACCTCACTTTATATTTCATTGAAAGCAGCAAACCAAATCCCAACCAAATATCTCCCAGCAATGGCAAACCTGGTGCTGTGAATGGAGCCGTGGGGACCACATTCCAGCCACAGAATCCCCTTGTAGGGCGAGCCTGTGAGAGCTGTTATGGTAAGTTGTATGGTAAGGCGGCTTTCTCCTCTCCTTCGGGGCCTGGGATGCGGTGCGTGGCCCTGTGCTCCCACTGCGGGGTGGGAGGTGTTGAGCAGCCCTCTTGAGGTACCTGAGGCGCACCTCTCAAAGAGCAGGACGGTGTGAGTAGATGCCCACCCTTCCCTTCGGCCTGGACACTGAATTTTGGTCCTGGGTTTCCTCTGCTTTGCTTCTGCAGGGTCCTCTGTTGAGTATCCCACTGCAGTGTTTGCTAAGCTGCGTTCAGAGTTGTTGCTAGCTTTGTGCAAACCATGGTTCCACGGAATATACCAAATCCTATTTTGGAGTTTCTTAGTATACTTTGACAGAGGCTCCAAAAAGTTCTGTCAGGAAGACCTGTGTATGGATGAGGTGCTATTTATAATCCTCAGACCTGGTTCTGTCAGAGCGCACTGGTTTGGGAGATGCTGTTCTATGTTTGCCTTTGCTTTCAGGGCCCCGGTATATTTATCAGTATCTGTTCATGTCAAAATCCTAGCAGACATGGGCAGTATTACAGCTTATTTGACCTGGATGTTAGATTGGTTTGGTGAGATGAAGTAATTGATAGACTTTTAAAAAATATATATTTTATTTATTTATTTGAGAGAGAAAGTTGCAGGG